AAAAAACCTTAATAGGGCCATGACAGGGCTGTAAATGAGCAATTTGAGTTTGATTCGATCAAAATTTAATAAATATTTTATTTGAATAGATTTAATTTAAGTTTGAATTTAACTTAATGAACCAAAATAAGTTACTTGGTACTTGATTCAAAAAGATTTGTGAGCAAATAAAAAATAGTATATTAAAATTTTATTTTTAAAAAAATAAATTACTAATAATATTAATATTTATGTGTTGATTTTTTTTTAAATACAATATAAAATTTTCAAGTAGTTAATGTTCAGGTTTGAGTTTGAATTTGAGCTTCAACCGAGTTAAGTTTAAAAATAATTTATTTCAAACTTTTTCGAGCTTTAATTTATGGTTTTGAATTCGATTCGGGCTTAAAATTTTAGGCTTGCGAGCTTTCGAACCGAGTTGAGTTTCATTTTAAAGTTTTTGAATCTATCAGTAGTACTTAAGCTCGACTCGAGTCGTTTATAGCTCTAAGGCCATCATTAGTTTAATTTTATTTTATTTTGATCACTTACTATTTTGAATATTTAAATATCTATTTATAATTTTTATTTTATTTTGATAATCTATTTATTATTTTCTTATTGAAAAGTTTAAAAATACCACGTCATCAATTATGTTAATATTTTAATGTGAGTATCTAAAATGAAACAAAAATATAATATTAAATAATATTTTTTAAAAAATAATAAATTGGTAACCAAAATTGAACAAAGATGATAGTTAAAATAATAAACACATAATTTATCATTTAATTTGTTCTATTTACAATATCACATAGGGGTGAGTATAACTGAACTCGACTAAAAAAAATTGACTCCAATTGACTTCAAGTTTTAACTTCATAAACTCGACTTGTCTCTAAAAAAATTCAAGTTCAAATCGTGTTATGAAATACAACTCGAATAACTCAAATTTCTTTTGTAATTGATAGACTAATTTTCAAGTTTGAATTGAATCCATTGACTCTGTATGATATATGTATATCATATATGATAAAATATGAATAAATTTATATGTATTGTATATGGTTATAGAAAATCTTTTAAATTGGAATAGAACAGTGCTATAATAATATAAATATTTATAATTAAATTTAAACAGAAACTCGAATAAATTGACTCGACTCAACTAAAAAAATTTCAAGTCAAATTTAAGTTATAAAATAAGACTTTTCAACTCGAATAATTCAACTTTTTTTGACTCGACTCAATCGAACGCTAACTCATCACGAATCAAATACTCAACCTTTAAATTAATTTATAATTAATTGGGCCATCTTTAATTTTGAATGCTCTTTTTCTCATATTTGGTCCAAAGTACTTCGGATATCACTAAACAGCCCATTACTAGTGGTGAGTATAGGAAACAAATAAATCGAAATTAAATTTAATCATAATAATAAGTTTCAAGATTTTAATTCTTCAAATTAAATAAAATATATAAATTTTTATAATATAAAATAAGTATTTTTATATCAAATAATAAAATATAACCAAAAAATAAAAAATAACAGATTTTTAATCATATATATATAACTTTTCATTTTTTTTTTATAGATTTTACAATTTCAGTATAATTGTTTAAATATTTTATTGACTTTTATAGTCCTAAATAATTATCATAACCAAATTTGAAATGAATATAATTATTTCTAAATAAGTTAATAATCATTCATAGAATATTCGAATACCTCAAAATAAAAAATATAGAATATATGATAAAAGATAGTGAAAGGGAGTCAAAGTATGAATTAAGCCTTGTTTTGTAGTCGTTTTCATAGGGTTGCTTCAAGGAAAGTCCCATGGCGAATACTTCAACCAACCTATTTACTAAATAATAAGAGTAATTGCAAGTTTAGTATATAAATTATCAGTTTTGATCTATTTTAGTATTTAAACTCTTAACTTTTTTTAAAACTATACCTATAATTTTGTTTTTGTTTCATTTTAATACCCTTGTTCAAAATTTAGTGTCAAGTTTTGAAGAAAAAAATTGAAAGTTTAGGTACTAAAACGGACTAAAACTGATAGTTTATGTACTAAATGAATTAAGTTTTCAACATTAGAATATTAAAATGAAACAAAAATTAAAGGTTTAGGTGCTGAAACAGACCAAAACTAATAGTTTAAGTACTAAATGCATAGTTTACCCTAATAATAACTACATTATGATATTCATTATATAAATTTTTTATTAAGTTCTTAACTATCTTCATATTTATAAAATAAAATTAAAAAAAAAACATCTTTATAATATATTTTTATAATAATTTATCTAAAAAAATTAAACATCAACGATTATATTAAATATATATAATTCTTAGTTGATACTGAAATTATTTATTTTCTATCTAATTGATATTAAATTTTTATAAACTTATATTTTTATTCAATATTTTTGGATAGGAGTATGATATTTACGAATAAATTAATGCAATTGGGCGGTTAGGTTCAACTGGAAATTGGTGCTTGAATAGCTGTTATTTAAAAGCATATAAGTCTTATTTAATTAATTTGTTAATGCCAATTTGCACATAAAATTAAGTTTATATATATATATATATATATATATATATATATATATATATATATATTTATAAATTTGCCTTTGTCTATTTGTAAGGTCTTAATCAAGGGCATCCCTGTAAAGAGCATAATTTCTACACTTCTGAATTAATTGTTTTTTGTAACATAGTAAAGCATTATGGGTATGTTATTGACTTGAAAATTAACGATTTAACACTTTATATGTAAAGAGTAGTAAACATTCACATTTACGTAATTCATTTCATTTCCTGTTCTGTTATTTAAAAAAATAAAATAAAAAACATATGAGAATTCAACTCACATTTGAATCCATCCCAAGGTAAAACCTTGAACCTCCAACTATTGCACACCACCTGTTAGGATCGAAGCATACGTTATTCGACTCAGTGACTGTTAGATTCGAATAGGTGTGAGATTTCAGATTCGAAGAAAATGAATGGTAAAGTTCTCTGATAACAACCATTGCTGTTGTCACTGTCGGCATATCTTTATTCATCAGAATTTCATTATTAACCTTAGATATAGACTCTCAAATGGAGCAACAGATGTTCTAGTTTGACTTGGTATTCCTTTTCCCTCTCTCATTGTTGCATATCTTCTTTGGTTGTTCCATTTCTTGAACATTTTTCCAGTTTTGTTGTTCAGACATCTGTTTCTTTTGTCCCAAGTTTCCATGGGGTGTAAGAACAAAAACGAGGTGGTTTCACATGGAGGATCCAAGGTAAAGTAATTTATCCCTCAAAGTTTCTGTAACACAAGCTTTTAATCCAAGTTTCTCATTGAAGTATTCTCACGAACAAAATTAGGGTTTAATGGAGAATGAAATCAAAGAATCCCCTTTCACATCTATTCCGAAATCACTTATACAAAGTAGCAGACCAAGCAGCATGGTTGTTAAGGTAAACAATCCTTGCCATTTTTTGTTTACTTTCCTTACAAGTTTCTGCAGATTTCAACATTGAACTGAGTTTTGGTTGTCGCGTATGATGAAAAACAGAAAGCGCATACCGTGATTCCAGCGCATATCGTAGCCGAGGCGATCTCGACGCTTCACGGTCTCGATCTTAGATGGTCGGGGCCGATCACTCCGACAGAAAGGGATTATGTTGAACAATATGTGTTGGCAAAATATCCACAGTACGCAGGTCAAGTTGAGTTAGAAAAATATGGACCTTTCTAGTCTTTGTATCAATGAAGAGTCCTCTGAGCCAGCAATTGATGATAAAAAGAAATCACCAAGAACTAGTTTAAGGGAGTCCTCCTCGCCTTTCTTTGGAAGCAACCATCCCGACCTGGACCGGATTCAATTGGAATCATCGAGATTGCTCGACATCCTCACAAAGAAATCATCTTTTCTCGGAAGTTTCATTTCGATCCCGGAAATCCAAGCTCGAAACAAAGTTCTGAAACACTGCTGATTATCAGACAACGACTACCTCGTTCTCTTCACACCAAACTACAAGGATTCAATGATGCTTGTAGGAGAAAGCTACCCCTTTTTTAAAGGGAACTTCTACATGAGCATCATTGGTGAAGAACTTGATTATGTGAGAGAATTTGCCAGTTACAAGGAATCAAAAATTGATATTGGCACCAGAAACTTGGTTGGATTTGAGAATCAAAGGATCACAACTCAGCCAATATTTCAGGAAAAAATGTAAGCACAGCCCCAAGGGATTGCTCTCGTATCCGGCCGATGTTAATGGAATGCGTTACTCCATGCATTGGATTTCGGAAGCTCATAGGAATTCATGGCACGTTCTGCTCGACGCAGCAGGTATAGTCGTCAGACAAGACCAGTTGAACCTCACACTTCATCGGCCTGATTTCGTGCTTTGCAGTCTGGAAAATACACATGCTCAACCATCAAGGATAACTTGCCTTATGGTGAGGAAGAAATCGTTTGATACATCGACATCTCAGATCAGTGAGTGAAACATGTGGATTAGCTTATATGAATACGTTATATCATATGTTTCAATTGTTTTAATATTTATAGCTATAGATATATTGGAATTTGGAACAAATAAAACGAGTTTTTTTTGTGAGGAATAAACCTTCGAATTAATGCTTCCCATATATGAAATAAGATCAGAATTGCAGCAAGTTTCATAGGAATTAATGCTTATACCCTGTCAAGTGGCGATTCGAACATCATCAATCACAATAAAATATCTCCTTGGCTGCTAGAACTTCACCAATGTCTCCACCAAGTCTCTATAGCTCATGCCTTATGTATCTATTCAAAATCTTAACCAATTAATAATGGAGGCGCACACCCTATAGACGTAATTATTCAAATCCGAGATCTTTAGAGAAAACGAACCAAAAAAATTGATAAAATTATAATAAAATACTAAATCCACCTAAATGTGCATAACTCACTTTGTGCGAAATTTGTCTGAAATAGTCATAATACTGAAACTATTTATACCAACCATAATCTATTACAAATTGCTCAAAGAAATTCCAAGTGAGTTTAGATTAGATTCAAGACTACTGGTTCAACTAATAAAATGTAAGATAAGAAGGGAAGAGCTGGCATTATAACCTTCTTCTTTCATAAGGATCTGCAACAATCCAACTGGTCACATCCCCCAGCAGTTTCTACAACCCTGCAAATTCATATATCTTAAACCAAATCATAAAAATTTAAAATTGATATCCATGAATATCTAAGAACTAAAAGCACCAAGTATTAAAACCTATAAATTTGTATTGATGTTATTCACAATTAAAGACATCGACACTATTAAAGGTTATTCACTCAAGAAACACAATTTGCTAAATCACAAAACATCAGAATTGGACCATGAGATTGTGTTTCACAGTTATACATGAGGGCCGAGGATGAAAGCTAAACAAGGATCGCAGCCTCAGCTATCGTCTAAAATTTGGCAAAAAGAAACAAATAAACAGCAGCTGGATCTCAGAAGCAATGTCCCTAGAAATGAATAATTAGATTTAAAGGTAGTGTAAAGAAAAAGGTAAATCATGAACTCATTTGTCCTAACCAAAGGAGAAACTAGAAAGGACCAGAGTGATGGTTTTTAGACTCAACATAGCATCAGTAATGCTACAGATGATACACACACATGCATAAATCAAATTCAACATAGCATCACTAGGCCAGATCAACAAAATAAATAAACGATCTGATGAAATCGAAATTCAAAATAGTCTTAATCCTCGGATCCAAGCAAGACCCAGGTGAAATGCTAGTTTGTCAAAGAAGGAACGAAGTTGCTAGTTTTGCAAGCATAGAGAACAAAAGACATTAGATTTGAACAAATCCATCAAAGGGTGTCTAGTGGAGAATCAATAAGCCAAGTAAATCTTCTAAAATTACAGAGCTGTTGATATGAAAAAAAGGCTAAAATTTCCAATAAATTTCGTTTGTAAGCAACAGAACCCAATTCAGTTATATGAAGAAAAAGCTTATTGCTTCAAAATTTGATTACTTTTAGCAGAGTGAATATAATTCTTCTTCCATAAACACAGTAAAAATCCTCGAATTTAGATTCATCCAAATGAAAATAACCCGTTTTGAATTAAAACATGCATGCAAAATCAGATAAGGAAAATTACCTAAGCGGATCCGACGATGATGTTGTTAATAGGAATAAAGATGAGCTTAACGAAAAACCCGACAAATCCCATCACCACGAAACCAATCGCTGTACGGAACGCCACCTTTGTGAACTCTGCATGCAAAGAAAAAAAAAGACATTCCCCAGAAATCAGATCCTTAAAAAGAAGGGGGAAACCCAACAGATCCAACTCTGAAAAACAAAAAAGGTGGAAGAAGAAAGGGGATACCTTTACGATCGGGCTTGTGGCAACGCTTGACGAGGCGGACGCTGTCCTTGGCGAAGTCTCTCAAAGGATCTACGACATTTTCAAGGGCGTCCATTTCTCTCTCTCTCTCAACACGAAAATCCAATGCTAAGATTTAAGAGAGAAGATTTCCAAGATATTTGCTTTATAGGAGAGTCGATTTGAGAGGAGGCTTGGTGTTCATAAAACGTCATGGCAGTCAGATTTGGAAACCATTTTCGGCCGTTTCTGTGTCCATTGGCCCCTGCTTGACCTAATGCCACCTTCGACTGGCTTAGCCAACCCAACCTTTCCTTATATTTAGACCTGCATTAGGCCCATTATATATAAAGAAAGTATAGCTGGACAGTGATTCGGTTCCGAAATTCAACCCGGCAACCTTTTTCACTTTGCATATATTGAAATATATATGTTGATATTAATAACATTATCTTTTTAACAAATTCGAGATTAATATGAAACAAATCTTCTCCCTAGATTTAATATATTTATTCAGCCACTTTGTTGATGATAAAATGATATTAATAACTTCAATCTTTTTCAAAGTTTTTCTACAAGTTCAGCGAATCGGCCAATCACATCCGTATAACATGTCTAGTTATGCGTTGGATATAGGTGGGAATACTTCGACAAAAGAAAAAAAAATCAGAGCAACATAGATTGTTGCCGATAGTCGATCTCCCGAAATAATGCACTTGAAAATTATGTTCATTCATATGAAAGATGCACATTAGAACACAACAAATGATTGTCCCTTTTTTTCATATATATGAGGTAAGGGGGAGGTAAGATAGTAGGCTACCCCCAACACCAGGTTGAGAGCAGCTTCCGTAAGAGACATCCGAATTATGAAATACCCTCCGTGGAACTCGATCTCACGATTTCAAGATTAAGAACCTTGTGCTCTACCAACAAAGGAGGTAATTAATCACATTAGAAGATATTTCAATTAGGCTAAGTCACAGCAGCAAATGCCATTTGTTTGCTGCACTTCAATTAGTTAATGGTCTTTCCTAAGTCAATCACATTTAAAAAGTAGCTTTCCATAACCAATGGCAGGCAGGTTGACATTCATAAACCACAAGTAACCAAAATTCCCAATTGATTTACCCGAGAGCATCACCCGATTTGCCACACCATCGAGCACCCATATAGGACCAATGAATTGCTTAACTGCAGAAAACAACAAAATGGCGTAAGAGCTCAGACGATGACCGGTATGAAACAATGGTAAACCATGTGGTAAAATCAATCCTCTTTCTTTTAATAGACAATCTAACAATTGATGCTCAAACAACCTGGATTTGCCATTTTTGGATATACAAAATGAGAACATCCTTCCAAAGTGGCTTAAACACTAGCAAAATGACCGCTTAATGATATTTAGTGGTCAACAGTAATAAATATCGGACCAGGCAATCCCGAATTACGCAAAGCCATGACCAAGGCCCAGCCCTTGGAACACGAAGATAAAAAACTAAGACAGGCAGCAAAAAGATAAGTTGATTGCATCACAGAAGAAGGAGAATGCTTTTACATAACCGAAGGGAAATAAACAAAACAGGCATTCTTAACATAAATGATAAAGTAAAAACAATACAATGATTAATAGAAATGTCAGACAGAAAAAACATAAAATGCAAGTGCAAAGAACGCAAAAGTGATAAAAACAACCATGCCAATAAGATTAACTATACATATCCTGATTGCTACATGGTTATGTAGTTAAGGAAAAATACTTGGTTCGAAGTAAAAATGCAACACAAGCACAGTTGTTGGATTACAGATAAACAACTAAAATAAAAAAGAACCACCAAAAATCAATCAGCATTCAAGAATGACTAAGACCAGCGCCCCATCCCCACCCATTCTTCACTTTTCTTGCCCGTACCACCTTTTTGTTATTCCACAAATTCAAGATGGTGTACAGTACCATTTTTGTTCGTCACTGTAGGAAAACATTTGGTGTTATCTATATTCTGTCAAGAAATGTCTTCGACGAATTCTTCCAAGTAAACTCTCCTTTTTTTTCTGTTGTCAAGCTTTCTTGAGTCTTAATCATCTTGTTTAACAATGTGAAACATAATTTCTCATTCTAAACAGGTTCTCCTGTTCTTCCCAAGCTTTTCCTAAATGGCAACTATAGCCAGAGAATACAAAAAAAATATGTTTCATCATATAAAACTAATTAAAGCATCTATAGAAACGACGCCTGCTTAAGTAAAACGTAAGCAACATGTGCTACGATGAAGTATAAGCGACATCATCACTGCAACCCACCAGATGGGATTTTCATACCATAACAACCAATAAATTCAACAAAGTCGTTGACCAGTAGTAGAATCAAAACATGACAGCAATATTGGAAATACAGACCAGACATCAAGACCTACAATGATCAAACTACAATCATCAACCAAAGCCCACCAATGTCATTAACTGGCCCTTGAAATAAACACGACCGCAACCAAGACATTTTGAAAATACAAACACGCCAACAAGACCTACAATGATTATACTCAACTAAGCATATCGAAGCAGCTCCATCTTTAACCAAAGTTCAAAGCATTGGAAATAATTTAGCTATCAGAAGTTCAGAACCTTATAATATAAATAGAATCTCAAATAATAAATTAAACGTAGCTCTAGCAGATGTTACCTATCCTTCAAAATGATTAGAATTTAAGAAAGAACTAAACTTTCAGTAAAATAAGAACAAAAATTTCACATAATCGAAGAAAGTAATTTTCCGCATACCCTTGTCCGTCAAGATTTCCCTGACCGCCGCTACCTCCGCTCGCAAACGACCCATCGTCAGCACCCGCCATCTGCCAAACACTCTGCCAAGCCTGCGAGGGAGGCTGCGTATACATAGCACCGGTGGGATCGACGGCAGGCCTCCCGATCATCATCCCGCCGGTCCAGCTGGACCACCAGCAGCCGGATGACCCATGGGAGGGTAAAAGTACGGCACTCCACTAGCAGTGGGACCCACCATGCCACCCAAACCAACCTCATCCTTGATCTCGTCCCTGGGAACAATATCCACCAAGAAATCGAAAATGTCGGTCCTAGTAATAGCCGCAGCGATGTCGTTTTTCTGAAGCGTCCGCCGCTTGTTCTCCTCGGCGTGAAGCCAAGAACGGATGGTAAGTTATAAAATGAAAAGCTCGCAAGCCTTGGCGAAGAGAATGGGGGCTTCAGCTGAGATCATACGGACATCTTCGTCGGCTTTCATAATCTTCTTGATGCGAGCGAGAGGTAGCTGATGGTTCTTGAAGTTGTTGACCTGCTCGATTTCTTGGCGCTGGTAAGACCAAAACATTAGGAGCTGTTGCTGCTGCTGCTGGAGGAGGTGATGGAAGGATGCCGGCGGAGTGCCGACAATGGCGGCGGAGGCGGGAGGAGGTGTAATAGAAGAAGTGGGAGGCTGAGGAGGGTAAGAGGAGGTCTGGGCTTGCTTGTTGCTGTCCATTGGATGACCTATCAACGGCAGATTTTGAGGCAAATGAAGGGAAAATATAAATTAATGGATGGATGAGCTTGGGTTTCGATTGATCAAAGGGATATGGTGGAAGATTGGGGAGGTGATTGTATTCATATATGAGCAACTACATGTTTAGTATATAAATTATTAATTTTAATATATTTTAATATTTAAACTTTGATTTTTTTTAAAATCTTTATTAATTTTTAATTTTTGTTTCGTTTTAGTGTTAGGCTGTTAAAAGATTAATGGGTGATTTGCAATGTTTTTTTTATGAGTAAATTGCATCATTCATCATTTAACTATCTTCATACTTCTATTTTAATTACTAAAGTTTAATATTTTAATTTAATTACTTAAATGTCAAATTAATCTTAATTTAATCATTTTAACTTTTAAATTATTTTTTTTATTTTTTAATTATATATTAATAAAATAATAATAATAAATGTCATGTTACAAAAATTATTAATAAAATAAAGGGTAAAGTATAGTAATAGTCACTGAATTTTTCTAAAGCTTTCATTTAGGTCTCCCAACTTTTAAAATTTGCAATATGGTCCCCCAACATTTAGTCCGTTTGCAATATGGTCTCCCAACATTTAGTCTGTTTGCAATATGGTCCCCGACGTAACTGTTGGGGACCATATTGCAAACAGACTGAATATTGGGGGACTGTATTGCAAGTTTTAAAAGTTGGGGGATCTAAATGAAAGCTTTAAAAAAGTTCAGTGACCATTACTATACTTTATCCTATTATTTATTATATAAATGTTTAATTGTATCAATATTATGAATGCAAATATTACATAAAACATGAGGTAAAGTATAGTAATGGTCACTGAACTTTTCTAAAGCTTTCATTTAGGTCCCCCAACTTTTAAAACTTGCAATACAGTCCCCCAACATTTAGTCCGTTTGTAATATGGTCCCCCAACATTTAGTCTGTTTGCAATATGGTCCCCGACGTAACTGTTGGGGACCATATTGCAAACGGACTAAATGTTGGGGGATTGTATTGCAAGTTTTAAAAGTTGGGGGACCAAAATGAAAGCTTTGGAAAAGTTCAATGACCATTACTATACTTTACCCTAAAACATGCTTGGATGCCTAACCAAAAAAGAAAGGTGAACGACAAAGTTCTTTATGGTTGACAAAACATTTAATCTTTATTTTGATTTAACAAATTTTATTACATGATCGGTAGTATCATCAAGAACGAGTTTGTGAATGAAAAAAATATAACAAATTTTATTACGTGATTGGTAGTATCGATCGAGAACGAGTCTTGTGAACAAAGAAAATAAACGTTCTAATAATTTTTTTCCAGGTTAAGGGTCTTACACAGTTCAACTCCGAATTTAGTCGAGAATATCCTTCACACAAGTCCCAATTCGATTAAAAGGAAATACTTACACAACACTAAACAACTTTACTAATAAAACCCAAAATTTGATATACGTGGCCACAAGCGAAACGAAACGTGCTTACCAAAATATTAATGAATACCGGATGAACAAACTAGCATTTACCAAAACTTGAAGTTGCATGATTGGAACCACGATAGGATCATGTTGTTAAAAGGAAAAGCATGGCACTTTTCTTTTTTATTAATTTGTTTGGATCGATGGTGGACGAAATGTAACATTATTGAAAACCAAGAGAAAAGTTGTAAAGAGGAATATAGGGAATATTTGACTTGCTGCAACTTTTTGAACAAGTCATTTTCCATACATTCACTTATACTCTG